GTGTGTGTGTGTGTGTGTGTGTGTGTGTGTGTGTGTGTGTGTGTGTTTAGGGATGACTCCTTGGAATTTAATCGGGCCTCGTCTATGGAGAAGACTTTCTTATCAGCCATTAATTGCCTATATTTCTATATCTGGGGGTGGTACCTTGTGATATTTTTCCCATCCATGTTGGGATGTCAGCTGGTGTTCACATTGTGCAGGTCTTGTTTAGAGCACCATATTATTAAGATTTCATGGGTACCTATCTTGTATAGAAGCTATATACATTGGAGACATTCCTGGGCTTTAGGGTCTTGTTCTCTTTCTGAGCCCTCTTCCATGGTGTTCTCTGAGCCTCTGCTATAAGTTATGTTGTAAATGTATTTACTGGGGATGGGCTCCCCACATATCATATGTTCTCTGCTTTTTAAACAATTATGGATTTCTATGAGCTCTTTTGGGGGAGAAAAACTTTGATGAGGGATGAGAGCTACACTATTTGTGGATATAAGGATTTATATTTTGAATACACTTGGGAATTACAATGGTAAGGAACATGGTAGTTATAGCTTTTCCTCTATGGTCCATGACATCACCAACCACAGTTAGTTAACTAAGTCAATAGTACAAGGCCTGAATTCTCTTCTATTAAATTTACCTTAGGAGCAAGTCAATGGTTGTTGGTTACTTTCTGAGATAATTAAGTACACTATTATTAAATTGATCATCTTAGATGGGTTATTTTTTTCTGCATTTATTGAGCTGATCATTTGATGTCGAGGGATCTATTTATGTGATTTATTTCATTTACTTATATAAATTGAACCATCCTAGCATTTTTACAATAAAGCCACCTTTATTTCAGTAGATGATCTTTTTGATAAGCATATAAAATTTATATTTTCCTCCAAACATTCATACTTTTCCTAAGTATTTCTTATAGTTTCATAAAATGTGAATATTTAGAAGATAGTGTAGAAAATACTACCAGGAAATAAATTATTGCTTGGCTATATACATATATATGTGTGTGTGTGTGTATATATATATATATATATATATATATATATATATATATATAAAATGTTAAAAAGGTTGTCAATGTTTTTTCTAGTCCTGCAGCTAAAAATTGTAGACAGTTGTTCATAATTTATACATTTAAAATACGTTTCTTTCCATTTAATTGTGATGGTGTGGTGATTCAAGACTATTTTAGCAATTGGAAAGCTGAGGCAAGAGGATTGTGGGGTCAAGGCATGACAACCTGTGCTCAAGAGTGAGAACTTAACCTCAGAAACCAAAGGAAAAACAACAATAGCAACAAGAACAGACAGAAATCTTACGTGTTAGGAAGAATTTTCAGTATCATTAGCATTTCTTATTCAATAGATTGGAGTCTTTTACAGTCTGATCTTTGTGTCTGTCAGTAACTCCCAGGTTTTTTTCCATTATCAATACTTAATGGTGTTTCAAAATGAAATTCACTGAGCCAGAGCACTTACTACATAGCTCCTTGTAGCCCTTTATTAATTTGGTTTATTGCATTGATTATAAAATTTCCTCATGAATGAATTACTGTAATTTTTAATAGCAGTTTTTTTAAAGAAACTGTTATTTTTAAGTCTAATCTTAACAGTATTATGTATAATACTATATACTTTCTTCTCCCTGACGTTTATTCTTGTTTTAAAAGTTTCTTGTGATATAAATGAAAGGACAGGGATTTATCTAGGAACATTCTAACTAATTTTTGCGATGGGAAGACTTCCCTAAGACCTTAAACCTCCTGACTGCATAGCCAGCTTTAGAACACTTAGTTGCTCCTTCCCTCCCTCCTTCGTGCCTGTAGCCTTAAATTTCTAACTTCTTCAACTACCTGAGCTTTTGTGGCCCCCAAGTAAAAATGTTTTCTTACATACTGAATTATCTATGTTCGAACTTCCAGGTTTAAAAAAAAAAAATGTACATGTGTTCTAGTGCATCTTGATTTTTTTGGAAGAAAAAGTTCTGGAATCTATGGTTAGTCATGTTAACTATTTCAAAAAGACACTGGAATAGGAATACAGGTTATAATAACTGGGTTCACAATTTATTTAATGATAATTTCTGCAAAGAGAGGTAGCTTTCTTTATACTACTAAAGTTAGAAGATTTTTATCATATTATTGTCTTCCTATTATTCTTTCATTTAGTTTAGAGGATGATTGCTGTTTGTATTTTAGAATAGCTGTCTTTTGTTGAATGTTTTTTTGCCTGTGGCCAGCCCCAACTATAGTCAGGTCACACAGAGGAGATAAGAGAGGAGATAAGGAATCTATGAGGGAGGAGTGAGTGGGCATGGAGATCAAGGGGAGTTTTTCAGCCTGACTGACTGGAAGTCAGAGTGCTTCTTTATTTATACAGAACTCAGTGTGCAGGGATAAATTCATGTTCTTCCAAAACATGGATCACATCATTTTTGATCCTGGACATGTGTTATAGGTTCCTCTTGGTCGTAAGTATAGTCATCATTGATAAACCATGACAGAACAGAATTATCTTCTAAAATCATTTTCCCTCCAAAGTGATTGTACAAGTTTGCAATACCACCAGCAATGGAGGAGTGTTTTCCTTAGCCATTCTGACAATGGTATCTCAGAGTCATTTTGATTTGCATTTCCCTGATGATGAAGGACGTTGAACATTTCTTTAAGTGCTTCTCAGCCATTCAGGATTCCACTGTTGAGAATTCTCTGTTTAGCTCTGTACCACACTTTTAAATTGCATTATCTGGTTTGTTGGTATTTCATATCTTGAGTTCTTTATATATTTGCTTTTTTGCCCTTTGTCAGATGTAGGGCTGGTGAAGATCTTTTTCCAGTCTTTGGGCTCCTACTTTGTTCTGATGACAGTGTCCTTTACTTTATAAAAGCTTTTCAGTTTCAAGCAGTCCCATTTATTAATTGTTGATCTTAGAGCCTGAGCTGTTGGTATTCTGTTGAGGAAGTTGTCTTCTGTGCCAATGAGTTCAAAGCTGTCCCCCACTTTCTCTTCTAATAGATTTAGTGTTTCTGATTTTATGTTGAGGCTTATGATCCACTTGAACTTGAGTTTGTGCAGGGTGTTAAATATGTATCTATTTGCATTCTTCTGCATGTAGACATCCAGTCGAACCACCACCCTTTTTTGAAGATACTCTTCCATTGTATGGTTTTGACTTCTTTGTCAAAAATCAAGTGTCCTTGAGGTGTGTATTTATTTCTGGGTCTTCAATTTTATTCCATTGATCAACCTATCTTTTTATGCAAATACCACGTGGTTTTTATTAGTATTGGTTTGTATTTATTCCTAGAGCTTGAAGTCAGGTATGGATATACTACCAGAAGTTCTTTTATTGTGTAGAATTGTTTTAGTTATTCTCGGTTTTTTGGTTTTCCATATAAAGTTTAGAATTGTTCTTTCAAGGTCTGTAAAGAATTGTGTTGGAATTTTGATGGGAATTGCATTGTATCTGTACATTGCTTTTGATCAGATGGCCATTTTTACTATATTAACCCAACTGATCCTTAACATAGGACATCTTCTTTTTTTATCTTCACTTTCTTTTTTCAGAGACTTGAAGTTCTTATTTTCCCTTTGATCTTTCTGGAATTCAAACTTCTTAAATAATTTTTATATTTACTAATTATTTCAGTAAGAATATTTCCATTTCATTCATCCACTCAACAATTTTTTATTGATGTTGTAGCAGGCATTCAGCTATATACTTTTTATATAATAAAGAAGGTACACACACACAAATACACGTAAATGGTGCTGGCTTTTTTGGAACTTGCCAGGAAGTGTTTAGAATGATCATGGAATTCAGAACCTGAGGACAAGTTGATGTGTAGAAAATCCAGAAACTGCTATAATAGAGATTGATTCTCCTCTATCAGAGGCTTGTAATTTCTAGTAACACTTCATCTAAGGGTAGATAGAACCTTGTGAGATTTCCCCACTGGCATGTCATTTAGTGTTTTCATTGTGCAGGTCTATGTGTGTGTTACAGTTACTGAAGGAAAGATCATGAATTTGAGAATGGGAAGAATAAGAATTATAGGAGGAAAGAGAAAGAAATTATGCTAATATAGTACTCATGAAATTAATATATATTACAGTATATATTTATATGTAATATAATACATAATATATAATTGTATATATCTTATATAATTTTTACTGATGTTGTAGCAGGCATTCAGCTACATACTTTTTATATAATGAGGTTACACAAAAACATATCTTTTATATATTATATATAACTTATATAATATATAATAAATGTTAATGTCTAGTATATATTTTATATGTATTTAAAAACAAGCACAAGGCTGTGTTACGTACGACAAATGTATTTCTGCCAGCATTTAAGTCTCTGTGAAGGCACCTGAGCAGAGTAGTTGCCTAAAGACTGCCATTCTGCTGCGGCAAGATGGACTCAGTGGAGTTCTGATTTGCATCTCCCTGTTTGGGAGTGAAAGTGACCATTTATTTGTCTGTCAGCCGTTTGTGTTACGTAAGTTGAGAGTTGTGTGCTCAGTTCACACAGCCTGTTTTGTGGGTGGTTTAGTTTCTTGTCATTTAGTCTTTTTTGGTCTTCCTTGTTTTCTTTGTATGTTGCAGGTATTGGTCCTCAATCAGATGTATAGCTAGAAAAGACATTGCTCTCAGTTAAGGGACTGTGTTGTACAAAATGCTTTTATTATATTTTTAAATAAAGATTTATTCATTATGTATACAGTGTCCTGCCTACATGTACGCCTGCACACCACAAAAGAACACCAGATCTCATTATGGATGGCTGTAAGCCACCCTGTGGTTGCTGGGAATTTGAACTCAGGATCTCTGAAAGAGCAGCCAGTACGCTTAACCCTTGAGCCATTTCTCCAGCCCCACAAAAGGCTTTTAATTTCATGATGTTCCTTCCATTTGTTTATTGTTGCCTTTATTTCCTGACCAACCGGAGTTCTATTCACAAAGTCCTTGCCTATGCCTAAATCTTCAAAAGTTTTTTCCTCTTAACTGTTTAGAGTTTCAAGTGTAATGTTAAGGTCTATGTTCATGTGGAGTTGATTTTTGATGTAAGATAAGGATCTAGTTTCATACTTTTACATGTATGCTAGTTTTCCTGGCACCAGTTCTTGAAGACCCTTTCTCCTTTTGGTATCTTTGTCAAAAACCATAGCTGGGCATGGTGGCATACACCTGTAATTGCAGCACTCAGGGAGGCAGAGGCAGGCAGATCTCTGTGAATTGGGGTCCAGCCTGGTCTACCAAGAGTGTCCAGGACAGCCGAGGCTACACAGAGAAACCCTGTTTTGGGAAAAAACAAACAGGTGACTGTAAGAGCATAGACTTATCTGGACTTTTTATTTCATTTATTTATGGATCAAGACTGTATATCGTGGCTTTTTTTTTTTAACATTAGCTCTTTTATTTTATTGGTTGATATCACTGTGTCATTCTGTTGTATTATTTATGCTGCTATTTTTTTTTAACTTTTTATTCTTTTTTGGTGTATGTGAATTTCACCTCATGTACCTCAAGGCCACTCAACTCCCCATTCCTCTATATCTGCCCTCCACCCTTGTAATTTCCCCACCAAAAGAAAACAACAACAAAAAAGATAAAAATGAAAACAAACAAAAAGAGCATTAAAAAACTAAAAAATAAGTTTAAAAGGAGCTTGCTGCAGTGTGTCACACAAGTGTATCAAACAGCTACACTCCCAAGTGTTGATTGCAGTGAATCATTATTATTGCTCAAGGCCTCTGGGTCCTCAGGCTCCTCTCAGATGCCCTGTTGTTGCCCTCTGTCATGGAGATCCTACAGCTTTGGTTCTGAGGACTGGCCTCTTCATGCACTCCAGTAGTTCATACATGGGGTAAATCTTAGTATAGGGTGGGTCAGCTCATCGCCCTGAATCTGGGTTGGGTGTATGTTCAGCCTGCCAGCTCTCCTATTTGTGACAGCCAGGAAGAGGCAGGACTGGCTCTCTTATCTCCCTTGCTTATACCATTTGGGCCAGCTCTTCCTCAACACCCAGTGAGGGTTGAGGGCAGCTCTCCCGCACCCACAGAATCAGAGCTGGTTCTCTCACACTGCCCAGGCAAAGGGTCTGGACCAGCTTTCCAACCTGCCTCAACGTATGCGGGGCAGGGGTTGGGTATCTCTCCCAAGCCTATGCCACCATATAACTTGGGGGTGGAGGGCAGTGCCTATGCCACCAGAACCAGCTCTACTACTACTGCCCAGGGAAGGTGCCTGGCCCACTCTTCCAAATTTAAACACTGATTTACATAGAAAGTTTAATAGAAAATTAATATCATTGAATAGATGACATGGGAGTCAGCTACCTGATAAAAGTGGTGCTGGCTATTTTTCAAATGCTGGCATATATGTATCATAAATTTTTTTTTCTTGAAAAACAAGGAGCAGTATATGTGTATGATATATAATATGCATAATTATATATTTATAATTTTAGATGTTTTATATAAAATGTTTATATGAAAACATCTGCAGTAATTTAAAATTATAACTAAAGTTTACTAGCTTAGGAAATGTTACTCAGTTGAGCACAGTGCACAGGAGATACGGGGAAACGTGTAAGATGTCGCAATAACTACGTTTACTTGTTTCTACAGACTTTTCTTCAAAAGAACTAGAGATCTTCATTTGTTCCTTTTCATCTTCCTGGCTTCAAATGTTCACTGCAGAAGCAATCTTTAAAAAGCTCTGCTTACGGGCCCCGACCAGTGCTTGCCCAGAGCTACTATCACTTGAGAAAATAGTAAGCACTGCCCTATTCACACTCTTTTCTTTCTTTGTTTCTTTAAGAAATGAGTTCATGAGTACAAGTTTAATTCTTAGTTATTTCTCATAAGTGAACAGAACACAGCTCATAAATCTTTGAGCACATTAAGGGGCTGGTATTTTTTATCTCAAATATAGATTAGTGGAGCACTGGAGAGATGACTCAGTGCTTAAAATCACTTGCTGTTCTTCCACAGCACCCAAGTTCAGTTCCTAGCATCAATGAATCTTCTGACCAAGCACACAAGTTTGCACCCACTCTGAACTCATGTACACATGTACACACACACAAATAATAAATATTTTTAGAAATAGATTAGGGAATAGAAGTTTTGATTATTTGGGCAAATAAGTAGAAAAAAAGTATTTCCAGACTTTTGACATTATATAAATTTTTAAATTACATCTAAAGTTTTTTTGTATTTTATGTTTAAAAAGGAAAACTGGGAAAGATTTATCCTGTGTACCTATACACATATGTGAGTTGCCTTTACTGCCATTCTCTTTTGTTTAGCATGTTAGCTACTAAGATAAAATACTCCAGCAGCTTCCAGCAAATGCCAAGTCCACTCGTTTATTGTGACACTAGGCAAATTGTTTTACTACAACTTGCTTGAAGAATATTTTCACTCCTTATTCTGTTTATTCTGGATTTATCTTTCTGTTGAAGAAAACCATTAGGAAAATAGAAACAACAAAATACATGTTGATAATAAGTCTTTTAACTATAAAAATATATATATCATAAGTTGGTTATAAGACTTAATCAGAAGAACTTTCCTAAATGAGTTAAAATTGAACTGGAAAATGTAATTATTTTCTAAAAGCTACCATCATCTGCAAGATATTGACAAAACAATTACATAGATGATTACAAAGAACTGGCAGGTTTAATATTCACTCATGTTCCGATCATGTGGTAACCTAGTTGTGAAATCAAGAAACTATAGCCAGACTTCATGGCAAAATGAAGTGATTTTTTTTTTCTCTTTGTAGCTGTGATAATGATATATTATTTCACAACAGATAGATGCCTATTTGCCAGTTTTGGGAGAAATGGACATACATGGGGCTGGAAAGAGGCAGATGCCAAAAAAAATCTGCCAGCGGCCCCTCCTGGAGCCCCCAAGAGCCTTACTGACGCTGAATGGCGCAAAGCAAAAGCGAGGTGAAGGCCGGCCAGAGTTCCCGTAAGTAACGCTGCCACTAACAGCTGCACTTGGTTTTGGAATCTGGCCTTTTCTCTGAACCTTCTTGAACTTCAGGTTGTCTGGGGTATTGTCTACATTATGTTGATTGAAAGAAAACTCGATTTCAAACCTATATATGCATAGGAGCAGCACTTTCCTACTAAGTGCTTCCCGAAAGAAAAGAAGCTATTAATCCAGTCTCTGTTTCATAGAAACAGAGAGTTTCTGAAACACAAAGTACTGTTTCTTCTTATACAATACAAATTAGGTTTTAGATGGATGTGATATGCTATATTTGCTTTGTCAAAATGAGAGACTTCTTGAATGGGGACTTCTGGAGGCCTGCATTCTAATAAAGCTTTTAGCTTTATTTTCTCTGTAAAATGTCATTTACTTGGTTTCCACTTTGTCATTCTATACTCGTTACCTTTTTAGTGAGCAGTTGGAGATATAGACTATTAAAGTGAAAATTAATGCGTCAAAATTTGTTCCTAAATAGTTGACATCATTTTAAAAATTGGAAAGCAATATGATAGAATGAGTAAGTGAGTTTAAGTTCAAAGAAGGATACATTTTAAAGGAGGAAAAATACTATCTTATGTATGCTGGCATGCCTTACTGAAAAACAAGCTTTGCTCGGTTTTCTTTCTTTTCAGAGAGTTGAGCCATGCTAAATGTTCCTCATCATTAAAAAAATTGAAAAAGAAGTCAGAAGGAGAATTGTCATGTTCCAAGGAGAATTGCCCCTCTCTGGTTACAAAGATGAATTTTCACAAAACTAATCTAAAAGGTACCCCAAGTATCTGACTTAACTTACACTTAGAACTTTTCATGGTTGTAGTCAGTACTTGGAAATCTCACACATTTGCCCTCAGTGAATGTTAGAACTTCAACATTGGACTGGATCTGGGAAATGCTTTCAAGGATAATGTATTATTTTCTTGAACTCTCATTTATACAAGAAGTAGTCATTTAGTGCCTGGTGTAATAGAGTATCGCTTCCTTCCTTCCTTCCTTCCTTCCTTCCTTCCTTCCTTCCTTCCTT